CTTATACCAGACACTGAAAAACACATGAAAATATAAAGACCAATGACTATGAAGAAACAGCATCAACTAGTGTGCAAAATAACAAGCTAGCATCATGATGACAGTTCAAATTCACAAATAACAAAATTAACCTTAAATGTAAATGGGCTAAATGCCCCAATCAAAAGTCACAGACTGACAAATTGGATAAAGAGTCAATACCCATCAGTGTGCTGTATTCAGGAGACCCACCTCACGTGCAAAGACACATATAAGCTCAAAATAGAGATGTAGGAACATTTACCAAGCAAGTGGAAAGCTGAAAAAAGCAGGGGTTGCAATCCTAGTCTCTGATAAAGCAGACTTTAAACCAACAAAGATCAAAAAAGACAAAGAAGGGCATTACATAATGGAAAAGGGGTCAATGCAACAAGAAGAGCAAACTATCCTACATATATATGCATCCATACAGGCACACCTAGATTCATAAAACAAATTCTTAGAGACCTACAAAGAGACTTAGACTCCCACACAATAATAGTGGGAGACTTTAACACCCAACTGTTAATATTAGCAGATCAATGAGGCAGAAAATTAACAAGGATATTCAGGACTTGAACTCAGCTCTGGATCAAGTGAACCTAACAGAGTTCTACACAACTCTTCACCCCAAATTAACAGAATATACCTTCTTCTCAGTGCCACATGGCACTTATTTTAAAATCAACCATGTCATTGGAAGTAAAACATTCCTCAGCAAATGCAAAAATACTGAAATCATAACAGTCTCTTGGACCAAAGTGCCATCAAATTAGAACTCAGTATTAATACTGACACTAAATACTTGCACGTGAGATGGGTCTCCTGAATACAGCACACTGATGGGTATTGACTCTTTATCCAATTTGTCAGTCTGTGACTTTTGATTGAGGCATTTAGCCCATTTACATTTAAGGTTAATTTTGTTATTTGTGAATTTGAACTGTCATCATGATGCTAGCTTGTTATTTTGCACACTAGTTGATGCTGTTTCTTCATAGTCATTGGTCTTTATATTTTCATGTGTTTTTCAGTGTCTGGTATTGAGTGAAACTCACTCAAAAGCACACAATTTCATGGAAATTTAACAGCCTGCTCCTGAATGATTCCTGGATAAAGAATGAAATTTAGGCAGAAATCAAGAATTTCTTTGAAACTAATGAGATCAAAGAGGCAATGTACCAGAATCTCTGAGATGCAGCTAAAGCAGTGTTAAGAGAAAATTTTATAGCAATAAATGCCTAGATCAGAAAGCTAGAAAGATCTCAAATTGACACACTAACATTACAATTCACAGAACTAGAGAAGCAAAAGCAAACAAATCCAAAAGCTAGTAGAAGACAAGAAATAACTAAGATCAGAGTGGAACAGAGGAGATGGAGACATGAAAAACCCTTCCAAAAAAATAAATGAATCCAGGAGCTGCTTTTTGAAAAAATTAATAAAATAGACTGCTAGCTAGACTAATAAAGAAGAAAAGAGAGAATAATCAAATAGACACAATAAAAATGATAAAGGGAATATTACCACTGACTACACAGAAATACAAACTGCCATCAGAGAATACTATAAACACCTCTACACAAATGAACTAGAAAATCTAGAAGAAATGGATAAATTTCTAGGCATATACACCCTCCCAAAACTAAACCAGGAAAAATTCAAATACCTGAATAGACCAATAGCAAGTTCTGAATTTGAGGCAATAATTAATAGCATACCAACCAAAAAATCCCAGGACCAGATGAATTCACAGCCAAATTCTACCAGACGTACAACAAGGAGCTGGTACCATTCATTATGAAACTATTCCAACAACCTCTTCATGTTAGAAACTCAACATGGTATTGATTAAACATATTTCAAAATAATAAAATCTATTTATGAAAAACTCATAGCCAATATCATACTGAATGGACAAAAGCTGGAATCATTCCCTTTGAAAATCAGCACAATACAAGGATGCCTTCTCTCACCACTCCTATTCAATATAGTATTGCAAGTTCCGGCAGCAATCAGGCAAGGGAAAGAAATAAAGTGTCTTCAAATAGGAAGAGAGGAAGTCAAATTGTCTTTGTTTGCAGATGACATAATCCTATATTTAGAAAACCCCATCATCTCAGCCTAAAAACTCCTTAAGCTGATAAGCAACTTCACTAAATTCTCAGGATACAAAATCAATGTGCAAAAATCACAAGCATTCTTATACACCAACAACAGGCAAGCAGAGAGCCAAATCATGAATGAACTCTCATTTACAATTGCTACAAAGAGAATAAATTACCTAGAAATACAGCTAATAAGGTATGTGGAGAACCCCTTCAAGGAGAACTATAAACCACTGCTCAAGGACATAAGAGAGCACATGAACAAATGGAAAAAAAATTCATCCTCACGGATAGGAAGAATCAGTATCATGAAAATCACCAAAATGCCCAAAGTAATTTATAGATTCATTGCTATTACCATCAAACTACCATTGACATTCTTCAACAATTAGAAAAAACTACTTTAAAACTCATATGGAACCAAAAAATAACCCACACAGCCAAGACAATCCTAAGCAAAAAGAACAAAGCTGAGTCATTACACTACCTGAATTCAAACTATACTACAAGGTTACAAAAACAGCATGATACTGGTCCAGGAACAGACATATTGACCAAGGGAAATGAATGGAGACTTCAGAAATAAGACAACACATCTACAACCATCTGTTCTTCAGCAAACCTGACCAAAAAAAAGCAATAGGGAAAGAATTCCCTATTTAATAAGTGGTGCTGGGAAAACTGGCTAGTCATATGCAGAAAACAGAAACTGGACCCCTTCCTTATGCCTTATACAAAAATTAACTCAAGATGGATTAAAGACTTAAACCTAAAACCCAAAACCCTAAAAACCCTAGAAGAAAACCTAGGCAATACCATTCAGGACATACACATGGGCAAAGACTTCATGACAAAAATGCCAAGAGGAATTGCAGCAAAAGCTAAAATTGACAAATGGGATCTAATTAAGCTAAGAGCTTCTGCACAGAAAAATAACTATCTTCAGATTGAACAGGCAATCTACAGAATGGGAGAAAAACTTTGTAATCCACCCATCTGACAAAGGTCTAATAATCAGAATTTGCAAGGAACTTAAACAAATTTACAAGAAAAAAGCAACCCCATCCAACAGTGGGCAAAAGTATATAAACAGACACTTCTTAAAAGATGACACTTATACAGCCGACAAACATATGAAAAAAAGCTCAACATCACTATCATTAGAAAAATGCAAATCAAAACAACAATGAGATACCACCTGATGCCAGTCAGAATGGCGATTATTAAAAAGTCAAGAAACAACAGATACTGGTAAGATTATGGAGAAATAGGAACGTTTTTATGTTGTTGGTGGAAATATAAATTAGTTTAACCATTGTGGAAGACAATGTGCTGATTCCTCAAGGATATAGAACCAGAAATACCATTTGACCCAGCAATCCCACTACTGAGTATATACCCAAAGCAATATAAGTTGTTCAATTACAAAAATACATGCACATGTATGTTTAATGCAGCACTTTTCACAATACCAGAGATATGGACCCAACAAAAATGCCCATCAATGATAGACTGGGTAAAGAAAATGTGGTACATACACACCATGGAATACTATGCAGCCACTGAAAGGAATAAGATTATTTCCTTTGCAGGGACATGGATGAAGCTGGAAGCCATCATTCTCAGCAAAGTAACCCAGGAAAAGAAATTCAAACACCACATGTTCTCACTCATAAGTGGGAACTGAACAATGAGAATACATGAACACAGGGAGGGGAAAACACACACCCAGACTTGTCAAAAGTAGGGGGTGGTGAGGGGAAGGAGAGCATCAGGACTAACAGCTAATGCACGTGGGGCTTACAGCCTATGGGACAGGTCGATAGGTGCAGCAAACCACGATGGCACACATAAACCTATGTAACAAACCTGCATGTTCTACACATGCATCCCGGAACTTAAATTTACATAATAAATAAATAAATAGATAAAAATTTAAAAATAAAATTTTCACCATAAGAATATAACTCATACAAAGTCACAAACTGGGAAAATTGAGAAGGGTACATCTGTTCAACAATTCTTCAAATTTAGGAGTTGAAGTACTTGGCTTCGAAAAAAAAATACGTAAATCTAACTTACATTTAAAAAGGAAAAGGTGGAGGGAAAAAGCAAAGCAGGGTACTCATTCAGGGTCATAATGACCATCTAGGACATTTTTGAGAGAGTCATATCTCTTTTTGCTGGTTAATTTCTAGCTCTTCCTTCAAACCTCAGCTTCCTATATAGATGGACCTGGAAGCTATTTTGGATACTATAAATACAACTTCCTCATTTTCCTAAAAAGGAAAGAAGGTGACATCCAGAAATGTAAATGTAAACTTAAGCTGTGCTTAAGATTACACAGCTTCTAAGTGGCAGAGCCAGGCCTAAAAGCCCTAAGACCAAAATAGTTCCGTTCTCTTTCATCTCATTATTTTGTGAGACTGACCTTTTCTGCCTCACTTGATCAGAAGTTCCTTTCTTCTGCAAACATGCGCCTCACAGAAGGGCCTCACCAGGGCCCTGCATCTAGACCTGGAGGCCTCTTTTAAGTAGACCGAGCTGAGCATAAGCACCCACCTGGCTGAATGTCAAGACTTCAAGGGCTTCTTGCGTGATTCTTTTTTTTTCTTTTTTTTTTTTTTTTAATATATTGCATTTTAGGTCTTGGGGTACATGTGAAGAATATGCAAGATTGTTGCATAGGTACACACATGGCAATGTGATTTGCTGCCTTCCTCCCCATCACCTATATTTGGCATTTCTCCCCATGTTATCTCATAAGAATCAGGTACCTGCCATCCCTCCACCTGCTCTTTATAGATAACCAATGTCTGATCAGAAGGTTGGGTTAGATTTCCAGTCTCGGAAAAGGCTCCATCCCATACCTACCATGTGATACCAAGCCCCATAACAGTAGGTGCCCCTCAAGGAATTTCCCAGATCTTCTATTATAATCTTGCATGGGTCCTCATCTCCTTTTCCCGAATGTTCCTAGACATAGACAGAAATTATGACTCGTTGATTGAATTTTCTTTACACTTTTAATGAGGTTGACTAAATTAAACACTTAGAACATGGCACCCCGGTTTTAAGTCAAGACTTATGAAATGAAATTCAGTGGTCAACACTGGAAACTCAATAGAGCCTTAGCCTTCTCCACAACTGAGAACGCTTTAGCACAGAGTGTCACACACTCCTCTTAGACCATCATAGCTTCTTAGCAAGCTGAGGACTCATGGGACTTGGTGCTCTAGCACTCATTTTTTACACATTAGGATGTGACAACTCCAGAACATACCACGCTTCTTTTGGTCATGAGCTGGGGTCAATCTGAGAGAGAGTAGTTCATACATCTTCTCATGCTATACATGTGTAAAATCATATACTCCAAGTTTATCTAAGACACAATGCTATAGACCTCTTATCACATTGTCCAAATATAGAATATTCCAGAGCACAAACATGAAAATGTTGGCTTACATTTTACTACTTACTCCTTAGTTTATGTTGGCCACTAAGAAACCATGGGATTTGGTTTATACAAAGTTACCAACACCCACATAAATAATATCTGTAACGGGAACTCTCCTCGAATATGAACACTTTTAATATCTCATGGCACACCATGCCAGACAGCAAAGTGTCCTCCACCTATCTTTGGACCTTCTCAGGATATGTAATATTCTCTCGGAGTCCTAACAGATGCACTCTTGCAGCCTCATATTCTCTACGATACAAAAAATTAGATCCTGGGTGCTTTCTACCAGGCTTCAGCATTACAATGCAAGTACTTCTTATCTTCCTAAGTTCACCCCTGCAAGAGAGCATCAGAAAGAACAAGCAGCTGTAGGAGTGCAGTAAAGAATTACAAGCAATCAGCTCTTCTACAGCTGCTATGAGCCAGGGGGCTGATAAAAGTTTTTTATCTTTCATCTTATAAAGATACTTTAAAATCAAGAGACCAGGAAATATTCTAGAGATCAAGACAGCAGGAAAACTTTTTCTCTTGCCCTTTCAGCCCATGAATAGAAGCCCAGACATCTTACCCCAAAACTGCAGGTTATATTGAGAGATGTAAATGGCCATTTACTTTTTGTGCAGCTTGTTAAGAAGAAGGCCCCAGGACCACCTTCTATACATCTGCAAGTTTTGAGAAGCAGAAAAGAAACATTACCTAACATGTGCACCACGAGAAAGCAGCCACAACAGAAATTACATCAAAGGTATGGATGACAAGAGCCATTTACAGGCTGACAACTTAAAGTCCCAACAGCAGGAAGAAGACAAAAGAGAGCAAGAGAGAGACCCTGCCCCAAGTAAAGATAGATAAAGCAGGCGAGAAATTGCCGAAAAGAGAAGAGCACATCAAGAACGAGTTCCAACAATGAGTTTTGCAAGGAGGTCAGCAAAGCCATGGACACAAAGACATTACGGAGGGAAGCTATAAACCCCTGGCAAGACCCATAGAGAGATGACAGAAGAGTAGACATGAAGGCAGCTAGACTGATGCTGGCCTGTCTATGACTGACCCAAGCACTTCATCAACTCTGTGTAAGAAAGGCTGTTTGTAACAACGAAATCACCTTTATATAACACGTTCAAAGTGAGGTATATTCATTGAAATAATATTTAATTGTTTTACTGAATTTATTACTCACATTTTCCTCCCCAAAGAATAGGTATGTCGTATGCTTGGTCCCCTGTGGCTGATGGAAACCCACCTCTGTAGTCTCAACAGGTCACACCAGTACAGCTGCAGCTGTAACACGCAGAGTCAAGAACACATTATAGGAAGCACCTGAATGCGAGAAAGTCTCTGCTTCAGTCAGGCCTGACTGGTGGAGTCCTAAACCGCTGCCAGTTTTGCTCTAATATTTTCTTTCCTCTAAAACAAAAGTTGACAAACTCTGGTGGCATATGGGTCAAATCAGCCAGCTGCCTGATTTTTTTAAATAAAGCTTTATTGATGCACAGCCACACCCCTTCATCTACCTATTATCTGTGGCTGCTTTCTCACTATAATGACAAACACTAATATACTTTCCCCACTGTTTCCATCCTTTCTCCTTCTTGTCCTCTCTCTTTCCCTTTTTAGAGCTATTATCCAGCCATAATCAACTCCAGAAAGTGTCTGGGTCCCCACCCAAACAGGCAGTCTGGAACCCAGATGCCACCATAAGTTTATCCTAATTTTACTTTGGAGTGGGGGGACTTTTTGTTGTTGGTTTGATCTCATTGTATTTATTAAATTAAAAACATTGCTTTTGGTAGCAAGTCAAAGAATATTGAGGTATCTATCTAAAGAAAGAGTTAAAAATCTTTCCTTTCCTACTGACAAGTGGTATAAAAAAAATCTCTCCTTTCCCTCCATTCTAATTCTTGAAGTACAAAATGTTAATATTTATTCCTTCCACACTTTCTGCTACAGGTGGCTTTTTTTAAAAATCTGTATTATTACATTAAGATTGAGAGAATAAAATACTTGATATTTAACATACAGAGCACATTAATCCACTCAATAAATATTTTTGAAAACATCTGTTTCATGTTCTATGCTAAGTGCTGAAATACCAACTTAAAATTCTCCAAGATAGATACCTGAATATCAAATAATATCAGTTGTTTCTTTTTATAGAATAAAGAGCCCCGCTATGCTTAATAAAATGATGATGGTTTGCACACACCAGCTAGCTAAACCAAGGATAGGAGACATTAGACACAGGAGAACTAACAGGTAGCTGAAAGGAATCTATTTTCCAGATCTAGAAAGAAAATCAACTAAAAAGCCAGAGTATAAAACAAATGAATCAGTAGGTGTATTAGGACATTATTTCATAAATATGTAATTTTATTGCATGAATAAATAAATACCTAAGACTGGGTAATTTATAAAGAAAAGAGGTTTAACTGACTCATTTTTCTGCAGGCTATGCAGGAAACACAGTAGTGGAATCTGCTTCAGGGAGACCCCATTAAGCTTTTACTCGTGGCAGAAGGCAAGGAGGACCAAGCATGTCACATGGCAAAAACAGGAGCAAGCAGTTGGAGGGAGGGTGCCACATATTTTTAAGCCACCAGATCTTGTGTAAGCTCAGAGTGAGAGCTCACTTATCATGAAGGGATGGCTTAAGCCATTCATAAGGTATCCACCCCCATGATCCAAACACCTCCCACTACGCCTCACCCCCAACACCAGGGATTACATTTCGACATGAGATTTGTGTGGGTAAAAATATTCAAACTATATTATTTCTGACCTGGCCCCTCCCAAAGCTCATATTCTTCTCACATTTCAAAATACAATAATGCCTTGCCAATATTCACCCAATGCCTTAACTTGATCCAGCATTAACTCAGAATCCAAAGTCTAAAATCTCATCTGAGATGAGGCAAATCCCTTCCACCTATGAGCTTGGAAAATCAAAAAAAGTCAGTTACTTCAAAGATACAATGGGGGTAGAGAAATGGGGTAAACATCCCTATTCCAAAAGGGAAAAATTGGCTGGGCTACAAGCCCCGTACAAGTTCAAAACCCAGCAGGGAAGTCATTAAATCTTAAAGTTCCAAGATAATCTCCTTTGATTCCATGTCCCACATATAGAGAATACTGGTACAAGGGGTGGGCTCCCATGCTCTACTCCTATGACTTTGCAGGGTTGAGCCCCAAGGCTGCTCTCACAGGTTATTGAATATCTGTGGCTTTTCCAGGCACAGGGCACAAGCTGTCAGTGTATCTAACATCCTTGGGTCTGGAGGGCAGTGGCCCCCTTCTTACACTCCACTAGTCAGTGACCCAGTGGGGACTCCATATAGAAGCTCCAATTCCACATTTCTCCCTTGGCACTCTCCAAGTAGAGGTTCTCTGTGGGGGCTCCACCCCTGTAGCAGGCTTCTGCATGGGCACCCAGGGTTTTCCACACATTCTTTGAAATCTAGGCAGAGGCTGCCAAACATTCTTTACTTTTGCATTCTGCAAATGACAGGCTTACTACCACATGGAAACTGCCAAGGCTTATGGCTTGCATTCTGTGGAGGTATAGCCTAAGCTATACCTGGAACCCTTTGAGCAGTGGCTGGAGCTGGAGCAGTCAAGATGTGGGAGGAGTGTTCCAAGGCTGAAAAAGGCAGCCAAAGCTTCACAAGGCAGGTGTATTAGTCCATTTTCATACTGTTATTCAGAAATACCCAAGACTGGGTAATTTATAAAGAAAAAGAAGTCTAATGGAGTCACAGTTCCACATGGCTTGTGAGGCCTCACAATCATGGCAGAAGGTGAAGGAAGAGCAAAAGCATCACGTATCTTACGTGACAGCAGGCAAGAGAGCATGTGCAGGGGAACTGCTCTTTATAAAATCATTACAGGAGGGAGGACTCAAGATGGCTCTGTGAGAACAACCCAGGATTGAGGCTCTCGCTGGATGCATGGAGTAGGTGAGTCAGGGACGCATTTCCAGACTGACCTTTGTTGCCCACAGAATGGGGAAATTCCCAGATATAAAACAAACGCGGGACGCCAGCCAGAGATCTTGACTGGTGTAGCCAGCAGCCTGTGCGGCTCCGGCCGGCGCTGGAGCGCAGAGGCGCTCCACAGAGGTCCGCACAAAAGCGCACTGTTCTGGGTGCCCTGTTGAACTGGCAACCTGAGACCTAAGAGGGCTGAACTTGAGACTGAAAGGGACTTGAACAGTGAGCCAGCCCAGGACAAAGCGTTAGCGGTAGCACAGTGCGACAAACAAAACGGGATTCCAAATGCTCGCTGTTAGGAGGTTACCTTAAGGTGCAGTTCAGTGCGGGAGGGGCGTCCGCCATTACCGAGGCAATCAGCCCCTACTGAGGTACACGCCCATTGCTGACGCAGCCTGCCATTGCCGAGGCAACCCGGTACAACAGAGGGACTCAAACGTAGGGCGGAGCCCGCGGCTGCAGGGCGGAGACCGCAGAAACAGGGTAAACCTCACACCAGCAGGGCGGAGCCCTGGCAGGACAAGACTGCCTCCTGGCTGGGCAGGATAACCCGGCAGACACTCAAAGATAAAGCACCATCCCCTTCAGAAAGAGCAGCTGAGAAAAAAAGGGCTTTTTTTGAGTTCTGTTGCAGCAGAACCAAACATAGCAGCCTAACAGCCCTGAATGAACATCAGAGCTCACAGCTCAGCACTTGAGCTACTATAAAGTACGGACTGTCTCCTCAAGCAGCTCCCTGACCCCTCTATATCCAAAAGACTGACATTTGGCAGACATCATTCTGGGACAAAGATAGCAGAAAAAGAAACTGGTAGCATCCCTACTGTTCCGCAGCTGCTATAGGTGTACCCCAGACAAGCAGGGCCTGTAGTGGACCTCTGCAGTTGTACAGCAAAGGGGCTAGACTGGTAGAAGGAAAACCAAGGAACAGAAATACTTCATCATCAACAATCTGGGGGTCCACCCAGAGACCCAATTGAAAAGTCAGCAACTACACAGACGACAGATGGATAAATCCACAAAGATGGGAAGAAACCAGCACAAAAAGGAGGAAAACACCCGAAACCAGAACACCTCACCTCCTAGAAAGGAACAAAACTCCTCACCAGCAAGGGAAAAAAGCTGGATGGAGAATGACTGTGATGAAATGACGGAATTAGACTTCAGAAGGTGGATAGTGAGAAACTTTTGTGAGCTAAGAGAACATGTTTCAAATCAATGCAAAGAAACTAAGAACCCTGAAAAAAGATTCGATGAAATGATAACAAGAATGGATAACTTAGAGAGGAATATGAATGAATTAAAGGAGATGAAAAACACAATACGAGAACTTTGCGAAGCATGCACAAGTTTCAATAGCCGAATTGACCAAGCAGAAGAAAGAATTTCAGAAGTCGAAGATCAACTCAATGAAATAAAATAAGAAACCAAGATCAGAGAAAAAAGCACAAAAAGGAATGAACAAAGTCTCCAAGAAATGTGGGACTATGTGAAGAGACCTAACCTACGTTTGATAGGTGTACCAGAATGTGACGATGAGAATGAATCCAAGTTGGAAAATACTCTTCAGGACATTATCCAGGAAAATTTCCCCCACCTAGCAAGAAAGGCCAACACTCAAATGCAGGAAATACAGAGAACACCACAAAGATATTCCGCAAGAAGAGCAACCCCAAGGCACATAATCATCAGATTCAACAAGGTTGAAATAAAGGAGAAAATACTAAGGGCAGCCAGAGAGAAAGGTCGGGTCACCCACAAAGGAAAGCCCATCAAACTCACAGCAGATCTCTCGGCAGAAACTCTGCAAGCCAGAAGAGAGTGGGGGCCAATATTCAACATCCTTAAAGAAAAGAACTTTCAACCCAGAATTTCATATCCAGCCAAACTGAGCTTCAGAAGTGAAGGAAAAATAAAATCCTTTGCGAACAAGCAAGTACTCAGAGATTTTGTCACCACCAGGCCTGCTTTACAAGAGCTCCTGAAAGAGACACTACACATAGAAAGGAACAACCAGTACCAGCCATTCCAAAATCACACTAATTGCTAAAGAGCATCAACATAATGAAGAATCTACAACAACTAACGGGCAAAACAGCCAGCTAGCATCAAAATGGCAGTAGCAAATTCACACATAACAATACTAACCCTAAATGTAAATGGACTAAATGCACCAATCAAAAGACACAGACTGGCAAATTGGATAAAAATCCAAAACCCATCAGTGTGCTGTATCCAGGAAACCCATCTCGCATGCAAGGATACACAAAGGCTCAAAATAAAGGGATGGAGGAAGATTTACCAAGCAAATGGAGAGCAAAAAAAAGCAGGAG